AAGACGGATCATTCCTTTATCTTACCAGCTACAGGAAGGCTACTAAATGTATGTGGATGTGGGACAGTGTCTGTGAGGTATTCCAATAAATAAATCCTTTATTAGCCGTTCAGTGAAGTCAGCAGTGGATGTCAGCATTTCAACCTTCAATAGGGAGACCCCATCTCCAGTCCTTTTTATCTCCAGGTGACTTTCGAGGAGGGTTTTTCACACTAGAAAAGAGAGAACACAAAAATGTTTGAGATGTAATATAAAGGGAAAATGCCACATTGCCTTACGTCTTTATGACAAAGTCTGTGTCCTGAAGAAGAGCTGTGCTACAGACACTTGAAGGCCCTGGGTGTGGCCACACAGAATCTATTGAAGGCGTTTTAGGAGAGGACCTGCTGTTCACACGCTCACACTGTTGCCTCACGTCAACCACTGCTGCGGAAAGAAGGGGCCGCAGCGTGTCGGGTGCTTCTGCTGCGGGCACGGGGCCTCCACCCACCACGACTCCGGCCGCCTCTGCTTCTCCACGACTCCGAGTCCATCCACGACCTCTCCCTTCTGTGACTAAACAATCAGGCAGAGTCGCTGCTGCTACAGTTGACTTCAGTTTATTTGCTTGTGTCTCTGAGGATGAACTATTTCCTGTGATGACCTGAAGGGACTCAACCACGTGCCCACCTTGAGGCCCAGCACGAGCTGCTGCTCTGACGATCACGTCCTTCATCTCTGAGTCTCCAGAGCACTTGAGAGACATCCCACTGCAGGGCTGGAGCGGACCCTGGATCCACACTGGGCGGGCCTGAGTCCCGGCTCTGCCACTTGCTCACTGTGTGACCTTGGACAAGTTACTCACACACTCTAGTCTCATTCGCCTCAGGTATAAATGGAGACAGTAACAGGACCACATTTCATAGGACTGCGACCCTCACAGCTCAGTAAGTTAGGGTTTGAGGATAAACAACATCTGACATGGAGACATTCTGACTAAGTCAACAATAACGAACTCATGCTCATTGTTTAGAAGTTTGGGACCCTGAGGTATTTTTCATACTTCACAAATTTATATTTATGGAGGAAATGTTTAAGACTGTGACATTAATTAAACGTGACTGATAAATTCACGTACATGGGACAAATCTGGCTTTGTACTCACACTCATATTCGTTGAATTTTACTTGGAATCTTTGCCTCTACTCTTTCCCAATGTAGGAATACTTCCAGGTCTCTAAGCAGAGGGCCAGGGATTGGGCCTAGGGAATCAAAGAGTAGATCTAAATTAAATTTAATCTTTCCTGTGTCGTGTGGGTCTTATTTTGTTTCCAAATGGGAACCTCTACTTGGTTTCCAGAAGAACCTGTCTCAAAGAAACTGAAGGCGATTGTAAAGAAATCAGCACAATTTTTTCCCCAATTTTAAATGAGACTTTTATTTTTAACGTATAAAAGAGTTATGTTAAAAAGATTAGTTAGAGAAAATAGAATCTCTCAACATTTTTTCACTCTCCTACCATACATGGAACATGTTGTTTTATGCCTATGCCTGTAGAAATACAGTGACACATATAAATTAGTGTCATACCTGTTGGTGTTATTACTCAGTATAAAAAATGGTCAAAGGACGTGAACAAATACTTCACAGAAAGAGAAATATACACTTTCAAAATATCAAAGATGCTTCTCCTCACTCATAGTATGAGAAACCCAATATAAAACTACACGAGGACACTATTTTTCACCTGTCAGTGTAGAAAGTCCTGAAGCACACTCTTGGCATTCACCAACACTGTGGTAGAAGTACGACATGGTGGTCTCTCTCTTGTAGGCAAGTTGGCAATACCTATCAAAATGACCAACGCACACGTTCAAAATGACACAAAACACTATTACAATTGCAGGCTTCTTCTAAGAGCAAAAGATTAGAAATGAGCCTATGGTCTATCACAGCGGACTGATTTTATAAAGTGTTGATATTCGCCAGGGAAATATCATGCAGCCGTCTAAGTGTCCTTCCACACCGACATGAAAAGAGCTGTAGGATGTTTAAGGGAAAAGAGAAGTGCAGCATAATGTATATCATCAGCCATCTCTGCGTAAGAAGGGAGGAAGCGAGAAAATATATACGGGCATATATATTTGTACGCATACATTCATATTTGCATAAATAAAAACTGGAAGGATGCACAAGACACAAACATATGACTGGCAAGAAGTAGGGAGATAGTGACAGTGGTTGAAGCAAGATCTCTTAATGCATTTTTGGGTGTGTTTTGCTTTTGAACCAAATGAAGGTATTATCTAACAATGTTTAGAGTATCATGCTATGCATACTATTTTTCAACAATGCTGTCTGATTAATTCCATTACTTTAAACCATCTTCACTTTTTGAAGATACATAGCAGATAATCATATGATAGCCTTGAGTTTATTTTTTAGTTTCTTATTGGCATTTGGGTTAATTAGGAGCTGCTGTAAACAGTGGTACAGTGAATGAATATCCTTGTACGTAAGTATTAGCTCATACATTTTGTTTCTTTAGGACAATGATGGGTGGAATGGTGAGAACACTTTCCTGGCTGCAGCACGTTTTCCCTTGTGTGCTGGGCTCTGTGATGGCTCCTCACTGCGTGTGATCTGGGACAGCAGCGCTGGAGCTCAGGAGCTCTTTCAGTCACTTGCTGGCCTCCACCCTGGTGCACATTAGAATTACTGAAGGATGTTTGTTAAAGTCTGATGCTTGGCCTGTGAGGAAGTCTGGGCTTCATTGGTTTCTAAAGACTCTCAAGAGGAGATCCAATGGGATAATGGATAGAGCAGCCGGTCTTTAGTTAGGCAGACCTGGAGTCATGTGGACTCGGGCTCTTCTGTGTTGAACGTTGTGGGTGCAATCCATTGTTCTGGTCTTCATCTCATCCAACCAGGTGCCGGAAACTTTAATCACAGAAATCCTATTGGTGGGTGGGAGGTAACTGTATAAAAGTCTTCCCTGCATAAAAATTTTGTGTTGGGTTGGCCTATAACCCTCAAATTGTAGGAACAGCATAGGAGCAAGGAGGGGAAGCGTGGACAGGTGAAGAGGCAGTTCTCTCCACCAGCTCTTAGTCTAATAAAGAGAGAAAGTTTCCTGTTTTAATTGAAACTACAGTAACCTGTTTCTACTCTCGTAGCAAATAATGTAGAAGTTAGGAGCAGAGCTCCTGCAGCCAGGCTGCTGGGTTCACATCCCACCTCTGCTTTTTATTAGTTACATAAGTAAAGGGACAATCTTTATCCCCTCTCTGCCTCAGTTTCCCCATCTATAAAACCGATAATTGTGTATATCTGGGAGTTAAAGATGTTAACATGTACTTAGACCAGTACCAGGAAGCACCATACCAGCATTTGCTTCATCATTCATTATTACTTCATTCGGACGTTAACTGAATTTGTAAATCACACTAGAAACCTGATATTATTTTATTTGAACACTTTCTTCTAAAGCTGGGTAAACTTAGGCAATGTCACACAGTCAAGAACAAATGACACAGCTAGTTAGAGACAGCCCAAGGAGCCGAGGCTCTAAATATGGGGTGTGAGGTATGACCTCTGGGTCAGTGTTTCTCCCACCAGAGTACATGGCAGTTGTGTTGTGGTGGAAATATACTGGGCCAAAAATGATGTATCATCTACTTCCTAAATCAGAAATGCACCTGGTCCCACCAGGTGTTTCCGCAGGAGATTGTGAGGACCTCCAGGCCCATTCCGTCCAGGGGAGGAGATGGAATGTCAGAATGGTACACCCAGAAAGCACCATCAATGGGCATACTCTGCCCAAAACTCTCAGTCCATTTCATTAGCAGCACCCCAAAACAGTTGCCAACCTAGAATACAGACTCAGAATAAAGTAGGATTTCCATAGTATTGATAACGAAGGGAGCACTTAAGGTAAAAACAGAGTATATACATGAGGAGAACACACGGATGCAGCCAGGAGTCCTTAAGAAAATTCTCACTGACTCCTTGGAAGATGTCTTTAGTAGAGAAGCAGTGCAGGTTTTGTACTGTTTTACTCTTCCCAGTTGACAGTGGGTGAAGGGAAAGCCACCTGATAATAGCTAAGAAAATATTGGCTCTGAGTTCAGAGAGACCTGGCTCTAATTGACTATTACTTACAAAATAATGACCTTGAACAGAAGACTTCATTTCTTCAGTATCTGCATTGAGGACTATAATTGTGCCTATGTCGGGGGCTAATAGAGGATTAACAGGGTTGCCTGTTGCATAGTAGAAACTCAGAGTCCCTATTCCATCCATGGCTAACCTCTCTGAGGGCAAATAAGATTACAGATGACTGTCAGTGTTTTTGTATCGTGTGGTATCCTCTATTCAAAAGTAGAAGTGCCTATAGTGGATGCTGATGCTGTTGAGGACGTGTAAGTACCAGGCGTTATTAACTCATCTAATCCAACAACTCCAGGAGACAGGGTGCTGTAACTCCATTCTACAGATGAGGATGTTATGGCATAGAGAGTTCAAATAGCTTTCCTGAGGTCACACAGATGCTAATACTAGACCCAGGATTCAAACACAGGCAATAGGGGTTCAGAGTCCAGGGGCTTAAACACTTTACCACAATGCCTCTTGGTGTGAGTGCAGGTCTCATGGGGTTACCATGAAAAGCAGGAAACACAGTGCTTGTGAAACAATATTGTGAAGCTGAGCACACACAATGCAAGTCATGCTAGATGGTCTACTGACACCATCAGAATGTCCCAAACCAAATGACTGTGAATCTGGTGACCTTTGAAAAAGAAGTAACCTGGTTGCTTTCATTTGACTGTGGCTCCTCTTGGAGCCAGTACCCCAAAGAAAGTGTTGTGACCACTATCTCGGGGCAAGAATTAGAACTGAGTATTGACCATAATCACACCCATCACTGGATTTGATGGCTCAGTCATCATGCTTCTTCTTTACCTTGGATTTTCAGTTAGATTTCATCAAATTCGAGTACACATACACAAGTGCAGGCTTTTGATTTCTTTTTTATTTTCCCCTTTATGAAAAACAATGTGCAGAATTCAAGTAGCAAGGGTGTTGTGTTCAGGGTGTGCAAAATGGAAGGCTTCAAAGTAGTTCTGCTTAAATGGCCCTAAGCTATGCGACTAGAAGCTGCTTGCTGTCTGTACTCAGAAGGCATGGTTATTTGGGTTGCTGGAGGAACTGGTGGAGATCAAGGAGAGAATGGTGTTAAAGGACAACCCTGTGGCCCTGCCCCTGAGTAATGACCGAATTCATTGTTGTTACAGAGTAAGATTTTCTGTATGTTCAACAGTTTAAAATACCATTTTGTAAGATTGACTTTACAGAAAAACACACAGGTGAACTGAAATAACCCAAACCTAGAAAGAAAGTCTACCTAGATCCTCAGGAGACACTTTTAAGGAAATAAACGAAGAAGACAAGTTGACAGTTGACTTCTTTGTGCCACCGACTGTTGCAAACTCTTTCCATTGCCACAGTCTGCTGTTCTCCTAAACAGACAGAAGTTGATGATGGCAAAGTAGACCGCGCTGGCGAGGAGGAGAAGCAGGTAGGCGTAATAGGCAGAGGTGCTGGTGAGCTGCAGCTGCAGGGGGGCTAAGAGAAGTCATTTGGTTAGTTTCAACTGTTCTTTTGAAAGGATGGGGCATATTAGTGGAGGGTGGTCACAGTTATTTATTTCTGATGACCAACATTGCTGTGACACCCCATACCACCAAAACCCAAAAGTAAACATGTACCTCACCACCTCCAGAGACAACAACAAGACCACTCAGAATCCAGCTTACAGGACATGTCAACCATCAACCTCTTAAATTCACTTAGAATATTCCATAATATGAAAAGTAAGATTGTATTTTTAATGAATGTGTCCAATGGGAAAGAAATATTTGTGATAAATAGATTTTGGCATTTCTTCACCCCCACCATATCTGTTAAGTGATGATAATAATAACTAGTATTCATTAACAACTAACCAAATGCTAACCACTTGTTCTGGGAGCTTTGCATGCAAACCTTTATCTTATTTAAGTTTTACAACAACCTATGAGATTATTATTTTCATTCCCATTTTTAAAATAATCTGAGGACAGAGAGAGAAGTAATTTGCCAGAAGTTATGCACTTAGTAAGTACCAGAAAGAAGATTTCAATCCCAACAACATGACTATAAGAACACATTCTTAGCTATTCTGTAATTCTCCAAGTGAAATAAATACGCCAGACATCAAAAAGTTAAGCATAAAGATAAAGTTGAATTCTAGTTTAGGTGCATCTGAGTTATTACACGTTGTGTGTACAATAATATTTCTATGAAGGGTACAAACCTTGGAAATTTGGTGGCGTTCACAGTGGGTTGGGTGAGAGGTTTTATAAAGAGGACATTACATAAAATGGAAGAAAAGGGTTAATCCAAATTCTCTGAAACTTTAGGAGGTCATGGCCCATTCACCTGTCCTTCTTAAATGTCCCTCATTGTGACTATGGTATTATATGATAATTGCGCTTAATATCTTTTGCAACTTGAAAGAAATATGTGATGTCAAGAAATAATTAACGACAATGATGGTGAGCCAGACTGGCTATTCAGTGAACCACAAGGCCATGTCTCTTCTAGTGGAAATTTCCCTTTTACATGTTTTATCTTCATACAGTCAGAACTCCAGAATCATTAGCACTTGTTATGAGCACAATGGTGATGTGCTCGTAACTCCTTGCCCTTTGTCAGGTAAGGTGTTAGCAGAGGTCCAGAGCCCCCTTAATCTTGGAAATGGAGGAAAGATCAGCAGGGCTGGAGCCAATGCTTCTAGTCACTTCCTTTGTACATATGTAGAGAGAAAGGGCCAGAAACTAGCACTGATTCTGTGCCAGTTAAATGAGATACCATATGCTAGACATCCAGCAAAGGTGACCTTGACCTTACCTCTTCAATAACTGAGTTAGGTGTAATTATTCCTGGCTGGCAGATTATGAAAGTGTTGCTCAGACTGTGTAAGTAATTTACTATTATTAGTGAAACTAATCATTAAAAGAACTGGGGTTCAAGTACAGCCTGTGATCATGTGAAGCTCACGTACTTACCCACCCCCTACTATGTGTCCATCATCTCCCAAGGCCTTGGTTTTGGGGTTTCTTGCTCTAGAACTATATCTTAGAGGAGGAAGAGAGAGCTGAGTAATTGTATGAACCCTTGATTCAGATGGCCTGGTTTGAAAGTCCAGATCTAGCCGTGTGGCGTAGTGCAAGGGACTTAATTCACTTTAGCCTATTTTCCTCATCCATAAAATGGGAAACAATATTGTAGACCTCATAAGAGTATTATGAGAATTAAAAAAGAAAATGCACACAAAACACAGCACAATGCCTTCGGTATAGGAAGCTCTCTGTATGTGTCAGTTCATGTTATTAGATATTAGGGAGGACCAAAGACTTAAAAAAATCTAGAAGCACCTTGTTATCACCTGTTACTCACTCATTAGAAACAAAAGCTGCACTAAAGAATGAAGTCCATTGTTGAAATAATTCAGAGCCTATCCCAGGACCCTCTAATTTATAGTCATCTCATCCCCAAACCAGCATCTACTGTGTTAAATGACTCCTAGGAAATGATGGATTGATTTAAAATATCACTCTGTTTGTTCTGCAACAGCTACTCATTCTAGTTTTTCTATCTCGAGTCAGGGAGTTCAAAAGTTAAGTTGTTCAGGAAGAAAAAATGCTGTCGCATGACATAAAGGCAAACAATACAAAATTTCCTGCCTTCATTTTCCACACAAGCTTCTGTAGAATGAATAGCAATGACCTCTAGAAGAAAGGAGACCAAGTATTAGCCAATGTTTATGAATATTACTTGATAATTCATATTATTATTTGACAATTGTGTATATGCAAATATCACATACACACACACCCATGTGTATAAAATCTGTCAACAGAAGGACAGGAGAGATATCATTAAAAATATGAACCTAACCATTCCAGGAATAATTGGGCTCATCTACCATGAACCACGGAGATCAAAACGTAATTTGATCAGGAAGGAAGAAACTGCTATAGCATGAGATGAAGAGAAACCTATACAAGAACTTACCACATTCCTCTTTTGGGGAAGCTGTTGCAGAATCAGTAGCAGTGACAACTAGAAGAAATGAGAGCGAGTATTAATCATTTGTCCATGCCCAGTTTTTGACAGTGCCTATATATGTATATAATATATATAACATATATTATATTATTATATATAATATAATATATAATCTATATTATAATATTATATATATATATAAAATATGTTGACAGACAAGAGAGACAGTCATTAAAAACAAGAAAATCATGAGCCACAATTCCAGGAATAATTGGTCTTTTCTACTTTATGCCTGAGAAGTTCGAAAGTGAAGTTGATGAGGAGGGAAAAAGCCTATAGCACGACAGAGATGCATAGACAATGACTTACTGCTTGCCTCTGTCGGATAAGCCTTTGTAGAATCAATAGTAGTGACGATTGAGGTGACAACGAGAAGAAATGGGAGCAAGCATTAATGAATTATTCATGCCCTTTGCTCAATAGTGTGGGTATGTGTTCATATGAGTATATGTGTATGCACGCACAAACACACATACGCTGCTGCCAGAGAGACCATCATCAAAATTAGGAGCCCTACAATTCCAGGACTAGTTCATCTGATTCTACGTAATTCAGTAGATCTAATCCAGGTAATGTGTTTCTGGACATGAAGATGTTGACTTTCATGAAGGATATGTTGTTTTCTTCTGTATCACAACTAGATGGTAATATCCAAGACTATCTTGTTTTCCTTCTGTACTCACAGCTCCTAGCCCAGTGCCAGCTACAAAGGAGGTCACGGAGAAACACTTGTCGAATGGAAAAATGAACAGAAAATGCAGCTACTCTCCTGTCTTCACACATGCTCTTAATATAAAGAGTTGCTCTAAAAAAAATTCACATATTCCTCAGTCACAGAATAATTCAGAGCCTAATCACTGCACCCTCTAAGTCACAGCCATCTCAACCCAAACCTGCATTTAGTACGTTAAGACGGCTCCTACGAAATGATAGATTGATTGAAAATGTCTCTCAGATTATTCCGCAACATGTGGCCAGTACAGTTTTTCTATATCAAGGCAGCAAAATTTCAAAAGTTAAGCTTTTCCAGAAGAAAAATATGCTATCACATGACATAAAGGCGAAAATACACAAAAACTTAACAGCTTTCATTTTTTGCATAAGCTTTTGTAGAATGGATAAGAGTGATTTCTAGAGGAAGTGAAAACAACTTTTAGTCATGTTTATTGCCTATTAGTAGTCAGTTAACATATATGTATATGTATGAGTGTGTGTCTACATATTTATATATAAAATCCGGAAACAGAGAGACAGGGGAGAGACTCCATTGCAAATAAGTGCCCTACAATATCAGGATTAATTAGTCTTGTCTGCTGTAAACTAGTGAAGTTCAAAATGTAATTTGATCAGGAGGGAAAAAAATGCCATAGCATGACATGAAGACAAGTATACATGCAACTTACCACCTTGCGCTGTTGGGGAAGCTGTTGTAGATGCAATAGTAGTGACAACTAGAAAAGATGAGAGCAAGTATTAGGAAAGGTTCATAGCCATTAGTTGACACTGTGTGTGCATATAAAGCAATGTATAAATAAATAAATATATATATATATATATATATATATATATATACACACATATATATGACCTGCTGACAGACAGGAGAGATGATCACTAAAAGTATGAAAGTTATGAGCTCCAAAATTCCAGGAATATCTGGTCTTTTGTATTTTAATCCTGAAAAGTTCAAAAGTTAAGTTGATCAGGAGGGGAAAATAACCCATAGCATGACATAGAGGGAAACATACGCAATGACTTACTGCTTTGCTCTGTCATATAAGCCGTTGTAGAACCAACAGTAGTGGCAGTTGAGGTGACAACTAGAAGAAACGGGAGCAAGATTAGTTAATTACTATGCCCATTGCTGGACAGTGTAGGTATGTGTTTATGTGAGTAAGTGTGTATACACACACACACACACACATAATCCACTGACTGAGAGACCATCTTTAAAAATACGAGCCCTACGATTCCAGGAATAGTTCATCTGATTCAATGTAATTCAGTAGATCTAATTCAGGTATCGATTCTGCACATGAAGATGTCGCCTTTCATGGAGGATGCCCCTTTTCCTTCCATGTCACAATTGGAGGGTAATATCCAATGCTATCTTGTTTTCCTTCTGTATTCACAGCTCCTAGCACAGTCACAGCCACAACGGAGGAGTTGGAGAAACACTTGTCAAATGGAAAAATAAACAGAAAATGTGGCTACTCTACAGTCTTCAGTACATGATGTTGACATAAATAATTCCTACCAAAATGATTCACATATTCCTCAGTCGTTAGCAAGAAAAGATGCACAAATGAAACAAGTCCAGTTTTGAAATAATTCAGTGCCTATCACCGCACTCTCTAATTTGTAGGCATCTCAACCCAAAACGAGCATTTAGTATGTTAAGACATCTCCTAGGAAACGATAGATTGATTGAAAATATCACTCAGATTATTCTGCAACATGTGGCCAGTCTAGTCTAGTTTTTCTAGGGAATTTCAAAAGTTAAACTTATCCAGAGGAAAAACATACTATCACATGACATAAAGGCAAACATTTACAAAAGTTTAACAGCTTTTGTCATTTACCTAAGTTTTGTAGAATTAATAGTAGTGATTTTTAGAAGAAATAAAAACAAGTTTTAGTCAGTTGTCTGTGCCTATTAGTTGTCAGTTGATGTATATATATATATACGTATGTGTGTGTGTGTGTGTGTATTTATATATGAAACCAGGAAACAGAGAGACAAGAGAGGGACTCATTGAAAATATGTGCCCTAGAATTCCAGGATTAATTAGTCTTGTCTACCATAAGCCAGTAAAGCTCAAAAATTAATTTGATCAGGAGGGAAAAAAATGCCATAGCATGACATGAAGACAAGCATATACGCAACTTACCACCTTGCGCTGTTGGGGAAGCTGTTGTAGATGCAATAGTAGTGACAACTGGAAGAAATGAGAGCAAGTATCAGGCAAGGTTCATGCCCATTAGTAACACTGCGTGTACATATAAAGGAACATATAAATATATATATACATGCACACAGATGATGTGCAGACAGACAGGAGAGGTGCTCACTAAAAGTCTGAAAGTTATGAGCTCCACAATTTCAGGAAGATCTGGTCTTTTGTATTTTAATCCTGAAAAGTACAAAATTTACGTTGATCAGGAGGGAAAAATGCCTACAGCACAACATAGAGGCAGGTATCGACAATGACTTACTGCTCTCCTCTGTTGTATAAGCCATTGTAGAACCAACAGTAGTGGCCATTGAGGTGACAACTAGAAGAAATGGAAGCAAGTATTAGTCAATTATGACGCCCAGTGCTCGATAGTGTAGGCATGTGTTTCTGTGAGTATACGTGTACACACACACACACACACACACACACACACACACACAGTCCACTGACTGAGAGACCATCTTTAAAAATATGAGCCCTCTGATGCCAGGAATAGTACATCTGATTCCATGTAATTCAGCAGATCTAATTCAGATGTTGATTTTGCATATGAAAATGCTGACTTTCACGAAGGATAGATTTTTCCTTCTGTAGCACAACTGGAGTGTAATATCCAATACTATTTTGTTTTCCTTCTGTATTCACAGCTCCTGGCACGGTGACAGCCACAAAGGAGCTGTTGGAGAAATACTTGTTGAATGGAAAAATAAACAGAAAATGTGGCTACTCCACAGTCTTTAGCACACACTGCTGACATGAAGAGTTGCTACCAAAATCAATTCACTAACTCTCAGAATCCACAACAGAATCTCACTTTTGAAGGAGTCTGGTTTAGGCACATTGCCCATGAAAGTAAAGGAATCAGGCATGTTTTTAAGGAGCATGCATATCCCAATGTCCCCAATGCATGCCCATGATTTTCTGAAGTTGTGGTGTCTGTGGATGACAACAATATGAATAAAAGCTCAAGGCTATTGAGTGATTATTACTGTACCAGGCACTGTGTTAAATGCTTCACATGCTTTGTCTCATTTAATGCTCCAGTCACACTGAAGCGAGTTGTAGTTTGGAGGAGTCCTTGTTGTAAATGAGGAGTAACCTTGGGAGAGTAAGTAACTTGCCGAGAGTCACATCAGTGATGGCAGAGCCAGCATTCAAAGGACCGTTGTGGAGGATTCAGTGAGATAGAGCATGTGGAAAGTCCTTTGTCAAAGTAATTCCTAGAAATAGAAAATAACCTATCGAGGAACACCGTAATTCCTCCACTGGGGACACTGAAAATATGTCCTCTTCCAGATATGTAAAAGATTTTTAGCCCATGACCTTTTCATTACAGGAGCTCAGCATTTCAGTGCAATTCTTTCCAGTGATAGAAAGCTAGGCCAAGTCACACTTACACTTCCCTGAATATATACAACCTGAGGTGAGGCTTGTCTACAATGTAAAAAAGAAAGAAGGCAAACACACAAAGAGAATACTTGTTTTAAAGACAATTGCCTGTTGGATGGAGGAAAACAGTGTAGAGACCATTGTTTTTATGCACCCTTTTTCTACTGGATGTGTCCTTGTCCATATGGATACAGTTGATGTATGCAATTTTATGCACCAGATGACATCTTTTTTTGGTGGCTCTAAAACTGCGTTTGAGGTATAGGATTTGGAATGAATTTATAGAATGAAAATGCTAGAATAATCCTGTTTGGATGTTATACTATCTTCAAGAACTTACTGTAACGTGTCTTAAAAGTCTCTTTTTCTTCAGCAGTGACTTGTTCATCAAGAGATAGCTGAATCTCTTATTACCATGCATTGATTGAGGTAAAAACAGTAATCGTTTTTCATAATAAAATCTGTGTACATATCCTAAATTCTCTCTCTCTCAAATGATGTTAATCAAAACTTGGACCAGACTAGTTTTATCTTCTTCAAAATCACTTCACTGATTTGTGCTTCCAAGTTAAATTCTTAGCTTTCATCAAAAACAAACAACATCCAAGAAACAGCATTAGAAGTTTTCTGTAGGATGACCTTACCAGCAATGTCCTCATTAGCTCTGTTGCCCTGAGAGGCCCAGGGGAGATATTTATTTCAGAAATTAGATGCCAAGTAAAACACATTATGAACTGCAACTTCTCTGTGATAATCATCATCATGGAACTTACTGTAAGTCTAATTTTCCCCTGATCTCTAGAAAAATCAAAACCTAACAGAACATTTCAGCTCTGTGGTTATATTAACTTGTGCTTTGCACATGTTGCTTCCCCTCTGTCCTTATCTGTAGAAATAGTAAATTAGGGGTGTCATTTTACTCTTACGTTAGTCTTAGAAAAGGATGTGGAGAATACAATAAATACATAAAGAAATACATCCATGTTGTGTTTTCTAAGCAAGTGTTTTCGCTGACATTATTTCATTTGCTTTTCATCATTGCCCCAGGAGAAAGCCAAGGCAAGTGTTTGAACCTAATTTGGTCACTGATTAAACTACGGATCTGAGAGATGAAGACTCACTTTAGAAATTCCCACTGGTAAAGAGAAAAGGTCTACACACGTTTTCTTCGGGCTTGTTCCCCACGGTTTCAAAAGGGCTTGTTAACCACAGGGAAAAGTACAGACTGATTCCTTCTCATTTATAGGTTCTCTGGGGCTTTTGGTCTGTTGTGTTCATACTCAAGACTTTACGATCCAGGTATAGAGAGTGACGAGACCACTGACGAGACCAAGGTCCATTCAGCCCTCTGCCCGCACTGTCTGAATCCGTGCAGCATCTGCATGAAAGGGACTCCTTTGGACATCATGCCTGAATCATGAGTGACCCGGAATAATTAGGAAAATAATCTACTCTCTTACAATAGTGCATCCTCCTTGGGAAAGCAATTCACCCCAGTGTGCTCATCTACACATCCATTCCAGGCCTGGCACAGGCCAGTTCTGCAAGAAATGTTTGTTCAGCTGCATTTTACCAATGGCAAGAATACACATTATGTACATAGGAAGTATGTGTGTACATATTAGCCTCACCCAATCTCTGCTTATGAAATTTGACCTTACGGTGGTATATAAAATACAAACCTGGAAACCTAAGACCATAATAAAAATGCAAAGGCCAAATTATTGTATTTTTTGTTGAGGTATCAACTAGCTCCTTCAAATGAACACTGTTTTGTCGCCTAATAGTGTAGTTTTGGGGTTGTACCCTGAGTATAGCAAGATGAAAGTGAGAGTGACATTTCTCGCTGAGTAGAAAATTCCTGAAAGGCATATAATTGTACCTATTCCCTAATCAAGTAAGATCATCCAAAGTGGGTGAGTGGTTAAGTTTGCGCACTCTGCTTTGGTGGCCCAGGGTTTTGCTGGTTGGGATCCTGGGAGCGAACATGGCACCACTCATCAAGCCATGCTGAGGCGGTATCCCACGTAACACAACCAGAGGCGCTCACAACTAGAATATCCAAGTGTGTACCGGGGGAGCTTTGGGGAGAAAAAGAAGGAAAGAAACAAACATTGACAACAGATGTTAGCTCAGGTGCCGATAAAAAATATACATAAGAAAACATCATCCAAAGTGGAATCTCTGTCTGAGCATTTCTTGTGTGCTAAATGCTAGGTGCTGTCACGTATCTTGTTTCATTTAATCGATACAACTACCGTAAATAATATCATTGTGAGCTTACTATTTTGGACGATGAAAGTCAGGCCTTGCAAGTTTAAGTAAATTTTTCTTCTTCATTTTTATGTTTAAAGCCTATAGTATTTTAAATCTATAGGGAAATAGAGGGACACTTATGCTAGCAATAATTGGAATAACATTTAGGAAAGATTTATATTTGTTTAATTAATGATAATGATAGTGAGCCTGGCTAGCTATTCAGTGAAACACAAGGCCGAGTCTCTTCTTGAGAAAATTTCCCTTTTTTATGTTTCGTCTCCACAAGTCAGAGCTGCAGAATCATTAGCACTTGTTGTGGAAAGGGATCTCAGAGGAGATGTGCTCATAACTCCTTGCCCTTGGTTGGGTAAGGTGTTAGCTGAGGTCCAGAGTCCCCTTGATAGTGGAAATGGAGGGAAGATCAGCCGAGCTAAAGTCAATGCTTCTAGTCAGTTTCTTTGTACACATGTGGGTAGAAAGGGCCAGAAACTAGCACTGATTCTGTGCCAGCCAAATCAGACAGCCTATGCTTGACTTTCCACATAAGGTGACCTTATCTCTTCAATAACTGAGTTAGGGGTAATTATTCCTGGTTGGTGGATGACAAAAATGTTGCTCAGAAACAGTAAGTAACTTTCCTATATTGATGCTACTAGTCTGTAAAGAACTGGGGTCAAGTCCAGTCTGTGACACTGTGAAGCCCGTGCTCTTACCCACCCCCCACCATGCATCCATCATGTCTCAGGGCCTTGGCTTTAGAGTTTCTTGCTCTAGGACTATATCTTAGAGGAAGAGGAGAGAAGTGAGTAAGCCTATGAACTCTTGATTCAGATGGCCGGGTTCAAACCCCAGATCTAGCTGCGTGGCATGGTGCCAGGGACTTAATTAATTCTAACTCATTGTCCTCATCTATAAAATGGGGAAAATATATTGTGCCACCTCCTAGGAGTATTCTGAGAATTAAACAAGAAAATGCCTGCAAACGCTGCACAATGCCTTCTGTATAGGACGCTGTCAGTACGTCTCAGTTCATCTTATTGGCGATTAGCAAGGAGCGAAGCCTTAAATAAAAACACAGAAGCACACTGATATCATGTATTCCTCAGTCATTAGAAACAAAAGCCCCACAAGTGAATGAAGTCTATCACTGAAATAATTCAGAGCCTATGACTGTACCCTCTCGCTTACACTCATTTCATCCCCAAACCCTCATGTACTGTGTGAAGACGACGCCTATATTATATATATTATATAATCTGCCAACAGAGAGACAGGAGAGACTGATTGACAATATCTGCCCTACAATTCAAGGAATAATTAATCTTGTCTGTGAAAAACCAGTGCAGTTCAAAAGCTAATTAGATCAGGAGGGATAAAATTCCATAACATGACATGAAGGCAAGCATATACGCAACTTACCAATTTGCTCTGTTGGGGAAGCTGTTGTAGATGAAATGGCAGTGAGCTCTAGAAGAAAGGAGAGCAGGTCTTAGTCAAGATTCGTGTCCATTAGTGGACACTGTGTGTATATATAAAGGAATGTATCTATATGTATAATATAGGATCTACTGACAGACAGGAGAGATGGTCACTAAAAATATGAAAGTTATGAACTCCACAATTCCAGGAATATTTGGCCTGTTGTCTTTTAAGCCTGAAAAGTACAAAAGTTAAGTTGATCAAGAGAGAAAAAAGCCTATAGTATGACATGGAGGCAAAAATACACAATGACTTACTGCTTGTATCTGTCGGATAAGCCTTTGTAGAACCAACAGTAGTGGCCGTTGAGGTGACAACTAGAAGAAATGGGAGCAAGAGTAGTCAATCAGTAAGCCCAGTGCTGGACAGTGTGGGTAAGTGTTTATGTGAGTCTGCATGTATGCACACACGCACACACACACATACAAATAACCCACTGAGAGAGACCATCTTTAAAAATATGAGCCCTCTGATGCCAGGAATAGTTCATCCGATTCCATGTAATTCAGGAGATCTAATTTAGGTATTGATTTTGTACATGAAGATGTCGAATTTAACGAAGGATACATTTTTTTCTCCTGTATCACAACTGGTCGGTAATATCCAATACTATCTTGTTTTCCTTCTGTATTTACACTCCTGGCACAGTCACAGCCACAAAGGAGCTGTTGGAGAAATACTTGCTGAATGGAAAAATAAACAGAAAATGTGGCTACTCAACAGTCTTCAGCACACACTGCTGACATGAAGAGTTGCTACCAAAATCAATTCACTAACTCTCTGTATCCACAACAGAATCTCACTTTTGACAGAATCTAGTTTAGGCACATTGCCCATGAGAGTAAAGGAATCAGGGATGCTTTTAAGGAGCATGCATATCCCAATGTCCCCAATGCATGACCACGATTTTCTGGAGTTGTGGTGTTTGTGGACAACAACAAGATGAATAAAAGCTCAAGGCTATTGAGTGATTTTTACTGCGCCAGGCACTGTGTTAAATGCTTCACACGCATTATCTCGTTTAATGCTCCAGTCACACTGAAGTGAGTTGTAGCTTGGAGGACTCCTTGTTGCAAATGAGGAATAAGCTTGGGAGAGTAAGTGACTTGCCGAGAGTCATACCAGTGAGGGCAGAGCCAGCATTCAAAGGACCATTGTGGAGGATTCAGTGAGATAGAGCATGTGGAAAGTCCTTTGTAAAAATAATCCCTAGAAATAGAAAATCACCTATTGAGGAACACCATAATTCCTCCTCTTCACACCAAAAATATCTCCTCTTCTAGATATGTTAAAGATTTTTAGCCCATGACCTTTCCATTACAGAAGGTCAGCATTTCAGTGCAATTCTTTCCAGAGACAGAAAGCTAGGCCAAGTCACACTTACCCTTCCCTGAATATATACAACCTGAGGTGTGACTTGTCTACAAGGTAAAAAAGAAAGAAGGCAAACATGCAAAGAGAATACTTGTTTTAAAGATAATTGCCTATTGGATGGAGGAAAACAGTGTAGAGACCATTGTTTTTATTTATCCTTTTTCTACTAGACGTGCCCTTGTCCATATGGATGCAGTTGAGGTATGCAATTTCATGCACCGGATGACATCTTTTTTTGGTGGCTCTAAAACTGGGTTTGAGGTATAGGATTTGGAATGAATTTATAGAATGAAAATGCTGGAATAATCCTGTTTGGACGTTATCCTATCTTCAAGAACTTACTTTAACATGACTTGAAAGTCTCCTTTCCTTCAGCAGTGACTTATTCATCAAGAGATAGATCCAAATCTCTTATTACCATGCATTGATTGAGGTAAAAACAGTAATCATTTTTCATAATAAAATCTGTGTACGTATCCTAAATTCTCTCTCTCTCAAACGATGTTAATCAAAACTTGGACCAGACTAGTTTTATCTTCTTCAAAATCACTTCACTGATTTGTGCTTCCAAGTTAAATTCTTAGCTTTCATCAAAAACAAACAACATCCAAGAAACAGCATTAGAAGTTTTCTGTAGGATGACCTTACCAGCAATGTCCTCGTTAGCTCCCTTGCCCTGAGAGGCCCACGGGAGATATTTGTTTCAGAAATTATGTGCCAAGTAAAACACATTATGAACTGCAACCTCTCTATGATAGTCATCATCATGGAACTGACTATACTTCTAATTTTCCCTGATCTCTAGAAAATCAAAACCTAACAGAACATTTCAGCCCAGTGGTTATATTAACTTGTGCTTTGCACATGTTGCTTCTTCTCTGTCCTTAGCTGTAGAAACAGTAAACTGAGGGTGCCATTTTACACTTATGTTAGTATTAGAAAAGGATATGAAAAATACGATAAAGACATAAAGAAATACACCCATGTTGTGTTTTTTAAGCACGTGTTTTCACTCGCGTTATTTCATTTGCTTTTCATCATTGCCCCAAGAGAAAGCCAAGGAAAGTGTTTGAACCTAATTTGGTCACTGATTAAACTACGGATCTGAGAGATGAAGACTCACTTTAGAAATTCCCACTGGTAAACAGCAAAGGTCTTCCCACGTTTTCTTCGGGCTTGCTCACCACTCCTTCAAAAAGGCTTGTTAACCACAGGGAAAAGTACAGACTGATTCCTTCTCATTTATGGGTTCTCTGGGGCTTTTGGTCTGTTGTGTTCATACTCAAGACTTTACGATCCAGGTATAGAGAGTTACGAGACCACTGATGAGACCAAGGTCCATTCAGCCCTCTGCCCGCACTGTCTGAATACGTGCAGCATCTGCATCAAAGGGACTCCTTTGGACATCATGCCTGAATCATGAGCAACCCTGAGTGATTAGGAAAGGAATCTATTGTCTTACAATAGTGCGTCCTCCTTGGGAAAGTAATTCATCCCAGTGTGCTCATCCACACATCCCTTCCAAGCCTGGCAGGGGTCAGTCCTGCAATAAATGTTTGTTGAGCTGCATTTTACCAATGGCAAGAATACACATTATGTACATAGGAAGTATGTGTGTACATATTAGCCTCACCCAATCTCTACTTATGAAATTTTGCCTTATGGTGGTATATAAAATACAAACCTGGAAACCTAAGATCATACTAAAAATGTATTTTTTGTTGAGGTATCAACTAGCTCCTTCAAATGAACACTGTTTTGTCACCTAATAGCATAGTTTTGGGGTTGTACCCTGAGTATAGCAAGATGAAAGTGAGAGTGACATTTCTCGCTGAGTAGAAAATTCCTGAAAGGCATATAATTGTACTTATTCCCTAATCAAGTAAGATCATCCAAAGTGGGGGCCAACCCATGGCTGAGTGGTTAAGTCTGTGCACTCTGCTTTGGCCGCCCAGGGTTTTGCTGGTTGGGATCCTGGGAGCGAACATGGCACCACTCATCAAGCCATGCTGAGGAGGCATCCCATGTAACGCAACCAGAGGCGCTCACAACTAGAATATACAAGTAAGTACCGGTGTCTTTGGGGAGAAAAAGAAGGAAAGAAAAATTGGCAACAGATCTTAGCTCAGGTACCAAAAAAAAATATACATAAAAAAGGTCATCCAAAGTGGAATCTCTTTCTGAGCATTTCTTGTGTGCTAAATGCTAGGTGCTTTCACATATCTTGTTTCATTTAATCCATACAATTACCGTAAATAATATCATTGTGAGCTTAATATTTTGGAGGATGAAAGTCAGGCTTTGCAAGTTTAAGTAAATTTTCCTTCTTTTTCTTTTTTATTTTCAAAGCCTATAATATTTTAATTCTATGGGGAAATAGAGGGACACTTACGCTAGCAATAATTGGAACAACATTTAAGAAAGACTTAAATTTGTTTAGTTAATGATAATGATGGTGAGCCAGGCTAGCTATTCAGTGAACCGCAAGGATGAGCCTCTTCCTGAGAAAATTTCCCTTTTTTATGTTTCGTTTCCACAAGTCAGAACTGCAGAATCATTAGCACTCGTTGTGGAAAGGGATCTCAGAGGAGATGTCCTCATACCTCCTTGCCCTTGTTCAGGTAAGGTGTTAGCTGAGGTCCAGAGCCCCTTGATATTGGAAATGCAGGGAAGAACAGCTGGGCTAGAGCCAATGCTTCCAGTCACTTTCTTTGTACACATGTAGGGTGAAAGGGCCAGAAACTAGCACTGATTCTGTGCCAGCCAAATCAGACACCCTATGCTTGACATTCCACATAAGGTGACCTTATCTCTTCAATAACTGAGTTAGGGGTAATTATTCCTGGTTGGTGGATGACAAAAGTGTTGCTCAGAAAAAGTAGGTAACTTTCCTATATTGATGCTACTAATCTGTAAAAGAACTGGGGTCAAGTCCAGTCTGTGACAGTGTGAAGCCCATGCTCTTACCCACCCTCCACCAGGCATCCATCATGTCTCAGGGTCTTGGCTTTGGGGTTTCTTGCTCTACGACTATATCTTAGAGGAAGAAGAGAGAACCGGGTAAGTGTATGAACTCTTGATTTGGAGGGCCAAGTTCAAACCCCAGATCTAGCTGTGTGGCGTAGTACCAGGGACTTAATTAATTTTAACTCATTGTCCTCATCTATAAAATGGGGAAAATATATTGTGCCACCTCCTAGGAGTATTCTGAGAATTAAACAAGAAAATGCCTGCAAACGCTGCACAATGCCTTCTGTATAGGACGCTGTCAGTACGTCTCAGTTCATCTTATTGGCGATTAGCAAGGAGCGAAGCCTTAAATAAAAACATAGAAGCACACTGATATCACGTATTCCTCAGTCATTAGAAACAAAAGCCCCACAAATGAATGAAGTCTATCACTGAAATAATTCAGAGCCTATGACTGTACCCTCTCGCTTACACTCATTTCATCCCCAAACCCTGTGTGAAGACGACTCCTATATTATATATATTATATAATCTGCCAACAGAGAGACAGGAGAGACTGATTGACAATATCTGCCCTACAATTCAAGGAATAATTAATCTTGTCTGTGAAAAACCAGTGCAGTTCAAAAGCTAATTAGATCAGGAGGGATAAAATTCCATAACATGACATGAAGGCAAGCATATACGCAACTTACCAATTTGCTCTGTTGGGGAAGCTGTTGTAGATGAAATGGCAGTGAGCTCTAGAAGAAAGGAGAGCGGGTCTTAGTCAAGATTCGTGTCCATTAGTGGACACTGTGTGTATATATAAAGGAATGTATCTATATGTATAATATAGGATCTACTGACAGACAGGAGAGATGGTCACTAAAAATATGAAAGTTATGAACTCCACAATTCCAGGAATATTTGGCCTGTTGTCTTTTAAGCCTGAAAAGTACAAAAGTTAAGTTGATCAAGAGAGAAAAAAGCCTATAGTATGACATGGAGGCAAAAATACACAATGACTTACTGCTTGTA